AAAGTTGCACGAGGATGACGTGTGTCACCAGATCAACGCGGCTCACAACGAGCGCATGAGGAACCAGCCGAGCGCCGCTGCGGCCGCCAGGGACCCCCGGGACGAGGTCATCGTCCAGCTGGAAAGGAGGCTGGCTCAGATGGAGGCCAAGCAGTCGGCCAACATCCCTACGGCCAGCGCCTCCAACGACCCCGGCTTCAACGCGCTCATGAACAAGGTCAGCGCCCTGGAGAGGGAGCTGGCCGAGGGGCGAGGTGACCCCATCATCCAGGTCATGACCAGGACCCCTTTCACCAACAGGGTCCTCTCGGCCCCCATCCCGGAGAAGTACAGGGGGAACGCCATCAAGTCCTACGATGGCCGATCAGACCCCCAGGAACACTTGAGCCGTTACCAGAACAACATGCTGATGGTGAACGCGTCCGACGAATACCTCTGCCGTTGGTTCCTCTCTACTCTCGAGGGGCTAGCGTACGAGTGGTTCAACGCGCTCCCCGAAGGGAGCATCGACTCGTGGCAGGATCTTGCCCAACGCTTCCTCACCCACTTTGCCGGGAGGAAGCGTGCGAAGAAGTATTTCACCCACCTCCTCTCCGTCAAGCAGGAGCACGAGGAGTCCCTCCGGTCATTCATCGATCGGTGGAAGAGGGAGACCGAGGAGGTCGAGGGGGCCGATGAGCGCACCCTCCTCGCCTTGTACCAGGGAGCCCTCCGCAGCTCCCTGTACGCTAGGAGCCTCATCACCGACCCTCTGAGGTCGTACGCCAAAGCGCTCCAGCGCGGAGGCTTGTACGCCGACGCCGACGAGCTCCATAATCACAAGAAGGAGGGGGGCCATCCCTCCAAGAAGACAAATCCTTCGCCGGCCCCGGGCCTGTCCCCGGCCGGCCAGGGTGCCCAGGGCCGTCACGGCTCTGGTGGACAAAGTAAGAAAGATCGGCACTGGCGGCCGAGGTTGGAACGGCCGGGGGTCTCCCTCACTCACCCGGTCGGCACCATCCTCGATTATGCCGAGAAGCACGGCCTCATCGAACAGGCTCCTCGGCCGGCCGAAGAGATCCTTGCCATCCAGCAGGGCGGCACATACTGCCGGTTCCACAAGAACTCGTCGCACAACACCGACGATTGCATCACACTGAAGAAAGCCATCGAGCGCCTTATTCGCCAGGGGAACTCTCCCAGTTTGTTAAAGGTGGCCCACGCAAAAACACATGGGTAAACACCGGCAAACATGGGGGCGAACCCTCTACGAAGAAGCGGGAGATTGGAAGGCTCAGCGACGACGAGGACTTCGAGGAGCCCCCGTCGAAGAAGAATCACATTCACCTCATCGTAGGTGGGAACACTAGGGGGGACTCCGCCACTCAGAGAAAGAAATGGGCCCAATCCCTTTACATTGGGGAGGTGTCCCACGCCCCCCCCCCCCCACCCCCAGTCCAAGAAGCAGCGAACAGAGGCGATCACCTTCACCGACAAGGATCTGCCTCCGGGTACGGAATCACACAGGGACGCCCTCGTCATCCGGTGTGAGATCGGTGACTCCATCATCCACTGCACTTACATCGATACGGGGAGCTCCGTCAACGTGATGTACCTGGACACCTTCAAGCAGCTGAAGCGGGACAGAGCTCTGCTGAGGCCGATCAAGACACCGTTATCCAGCTTCACCGGGGACTCTATCGACGCCGAGGGCACGATAGTCCTCCCCGTGGAGGTCGGTGACGGCCCCCACCGCGCCAAGATTGACATGGAGTTTATGGTGGTCAACCTCCAGTGCGCCCACAACCCGATCTTGGGGCGGCCAGCGCTGGAGAACTTGGAGGCCATCATCTCCATGAAGCACCTATGTCTGAAGTTCCCCACCAATGACGGCATCGGCTACGCCAGAGGAAACCAGAGGATAGCCAGAGCTTGCTACCTCAAGCTAACGAGGCCGGCCGAAAGGGAAGGACAAAGGATAGACACCATTACGGCCGCCGTCGCCACGGCCGAGGAGAGGCCACGTGCGGAGCCGGCCGAGGAGGTCGAGGAAATTCCTCTGGATACCTCCCGGCCGGAGTGGGTTCTCAGAATCGCGAAGCAACTCCCCCAGGACCAACGAGACACCATCCTCCTCGTCTTACGGTCGTACGCCGTTGTCTTCACGTGGGGTCCGGACGATATGCCAGGCATCAGCCGCCAGGTGATCACTCACCGGCTGACCGTCGATCCGGCCTCCGCGCCCGTCAAACAGAAGCGGCGATACTTGTCCGCCGACAGGCGGGACTTCGTCAAAGGGGAGGTCGCCATGCTCCTCTCAATCAAACACATTAAAGAGGTGAAGTACCCGACATGGTTGGCCAACGTCGTCCTCGCCCAGAAACCGCCGACGTTCAGAATGTGTGTTGATTACACTGACCTGAACAAGGCGTGCCCCAAGGATCCATTCCCTCTCCCCAACATTGATCAGGTGGTGGACGAGACGGCGGGGTGCGAGTTGATGTCGTTCCTCGACGCTTTCAGGGGGTACCACCAGATCTCCATGCATGAAGATGATGCTGAGAAGACGGCATTCATGACCCCAGAGGGAATCTTCTGCTACCTCGTCTTGGCCTTCGGACTCAAAAACTCCGGCGCCACCTACACTAGGATGGTGGCCAAGATGTTCAGGGCAGTCCTTGGCCGGACGATGGAGGCGTACGTCGACGACATGATCGTCAAGAGCAGGCGGGCCACCTCCCACGCCGACGACCTCCGGGAAATCTTTGAAATAATGAAGGAGTTCAGGCTCCGCCTCAACCCCAAGAAGTGCGCCTTCGGCGTCCAGGGCGGCAAGTTCCTCAGCTACATGGTCAGCCGGAGAGGCATCGAGATAAACCCGGAGAAGACGCAGGCTATCATCAACAAGGCGGCCTTAAACCGGTTCCTCTCCGGGTCAGCCGAGAGGGCACTCCCCTTCTTTCAGATCATGCGTAAAGCCAACAGCTTCAAGTGGACGACGGAGTGCCAGGAAGCATTCGACGAATTGAAAAGGTACCTGTCGTCCCCACCCGTGCTCTCCAAGCCCAAAGCCGGTGAAACCCTCTTCTTGTACTTAGGGGTGAGCACGTCGGCCATCAGCTCCGTGCTCATCCGTGAGGATGAAGGGGTGCAGAAGGCCATCTTCTACATCAGCAAGACACTCAGGGAGGCCGAGCTCAGGGACTCCCCCATTGAGAAGACGGTGCTGGCCATCGTCCATACGGTGAAGAAGCTGGGACACTACTTCCAGGCCCACGCCGTCCATGTACTGACCCAGCAGCCTCTCGGCGCACTCATGAGGAGCCCCACCAGCTCCTCTAGGATGGTGAAATGGGCAATTTTCCTCAGCCAATTTCAAATTGAGATCAAGCCAAGGCCATCTATCAAAGGGCAAGCCTTGGCCGACTTCGTCATCGAATGCACGGCAAGGGAGACGGTCGTCGCCAACCCTGGGTCAGAGCCGGACGATACATGGACCCTGTTCACTGACGGCTCGTCGACCGCGAAATCATGCGGCGGCGGCGGCGTCCTCATATCCCCTGAAGGATTCAGAGCTTACTATGCCATCCGCTTCAACTTCAGGGTATCAAACAACGAAGCCGAGTATGAGGCCCTCCTCAGCGGTCTCAGACTCGCAGCCGGCCTCAAGGCCAAGCACCTCAAAATCAAGTGCGACTCCAAACTGGTAGTGGGCCAGGTGGAGGGAAGCAAAGGAAGGCCGGATGAAGCAGTACAAACAAGCGGCGGAGGAGTTGCTGAAAGCGTTTGAAACCCACGAGATCACTCAGATCCCAAGGGCCGAGAACGCCGAAGCCGACATCCTCTCCAAACTCAGCTCGGACACCCCGGAGCACATCTCCCAGTTGGCCAAGATCGAGGAGTTGAGCATGTCCAACATCCATGCCAGCCCCGTCTTGTGCGTCCAACAGCGACCAGAGGACTGGATCTCCGACATCGCCACCTTCATCGCAACGGGGGAGCTGCCCCCGGACGAGGAGAGAGCCAAACTTGGCAAACTCTATAAACGATCCTACAATGGCACTCTCCTTCGATGCCTCCATTAGGATGAGGCCGACATAGCCATGGAAGAAGTTCATTGTGGCGTCTGCTCCTCACACCAGGGCCCTTTCAGCATGTCCCGGCGTCTCGTCGTCCAGGGCTTCTTCTGGCCGACGATGGCACGCGACTGCGCTGACCTGGCCAGGAAGTGCACCACATGCCAGGTACTCCAGAAGGCCCCTGGTCGGCCAGCTGTCAACTACACCCCCGTCAGCACCGCAATTCCATTCTCCAGATGGGGGATTGACCTGGTCGGCCCCCTGCCCAAAGCCGCCGGGAATAACCGCTACATCATCGTCGCCGTCGACTACTTCACCAAGTGGGTCGAGGCGGAGCCCTTGGCTAGCATCACGGGGGCCAGATGCCAAAAATTTGTTTACAAGAACATCATCACACACTTTGGCGTCCCCCAGGAGATTATATCAGACAACGGCACCCAATTCGAGGCAGCCCCTTTCCAAGAACTCCTCCGGGAGTTTGGGGTAAAGCATCGTTTCTCCTCCGTTGCCTACCCTCAGGGCAACGTGTAATACCCGAGATTAATTTAAGAGGATTAATAGTACTACTCATACCAACAGAGGTGCATCTCCTTTTAAGGGAGCTCATCACCCAAGAACTCCAAAGTTAAGCGTGCTTGCACGGGAGAAGTCTTAGGATGGGTGACCCCCTGGGAAGTTTCTCAGGGCGCGCACGAGTGAGGACAAAGTGCGCGGTAAAGGCTCGTGGTGGTTTGTGAGGACAGTACTAGAGGTCAGAAGTAACTACCTCGGGGCCTACGGGGCCGGGGTGTTACAAATGGTATCAGAGCAACCCTGCGACAGTGTGCTGACCCATTAGATATCGGGCGGGCACTTAGCGGGGCAAGATTCTGGGGTTTTATTGAGATTGGTTTAAGGGCGCAACGAGGACGTTGCGATCCTAAGTGGGGGTGATTGTAATACCCGAGATTAATTTAAGAGGATTAATAGTACTACTCATACCAACAGAGGTGCATCTCCTTTTAAGGGAGCTCATCACCCAAGAACTCCAAAGTTAAGCGTGCTTGCACGGGAGTAGTCTTGGGATGGGTGACCCCCTGGGAAGTTTCTCAGGGCGCGCACGAGTGAGGACAAAGTGCGCGGTAAAGGCTCGTGGTGGTTTGTGAGGACAGTACTAGAGGTCAGAAGTAACTACCTCGGGGCCTACGGGGCCGGGGTGTTACACAACGGGCAGGTCGAGAACGCCAACAGAACAATTATGGAGGGGCTGAAGAAGAAGCTCCAGGCCGCAGGAGGTAGTTGGGTCGACGAGCTCCCCAACATCATGTGGTGCTACAGAACCACGCCGAGGCGGGCGACAGGTGAAACGCCTTTCGCCCTGTGCTACGGCTTTGAAGCAAAGGCGCCCACGGAAGTTGCCATCCCCAGCCGACGGGTGGAACAATACGAGCCTGACGCCAATGAGGAAAGCATGAAGATTGACCTGTACCTGGTTGATGAGAGGCGTGAGCAAGCTTACGTCCAAGAAGAGAACTACCGGCGTCAAGTAAAATCATACTATGACGCCAAGGTACGTTCCCGGGAATTTCAGGTGGGGGACTACGTCCTCCGCCGAAGGGAAGCAAGCCAGCCGACAGAGGGTGGCAAACTAGCATTGAAGTACGAAGGGCCCTATATCGTCAGTGTCGTGGTCAAACCCGGCACCTACAAGCTTAAACGCCTGAATGGGTCCAATGTACCACGAACGTGGAATGTACACCATCTGGTGAAGTTTTATCAGTAATCCGAAGGAGGTGGAGACGGCGAAGCCCTCACCCCTTAACGGGTTACTGATCGAACGCCACCCTCGGCCTCGAGCCACTTATGAATAAAATCATGTTCCTGATTTTTTCTCTGAATTTAAAGTAAAACATTAGCAAGTGCCCCCGTCGGCCACCTTAGAGCGAAAGGCTCAGGTATGGCCGACGTGGCCCCTTGCATTTGCAGCCTACGAGCGACAAGCTCCGGCACTCCATTGTATTTTGTATCAGCGAAGGGCTCAGGCCTAGCTGAGAGAGCACATCGTCCCGGCCCCGTAAGCCTAGAAGTGAAATGCTCAGGTATGGCCGACGATGTCCCCAGGACGAGGGGCCCGCAAACGGCCCACGTCTTGAAACGGGAAGCTCACCGCGTCGTCCACGCGCCAGATCGCAGGACGACAGGCCTGAAATCATGGCCGAGGTGACAAAATCCCAAAACTCAGGGATGGGCAACGACAGCCGTTGGAAACCGACCAAAAGTCTAGTCCGCGTCATAAATAGGCGACGGGACCCGCCCTGAGATCACGGACGTTATAAACGAAGTCCGAACCGGCCGAAGGACGAGCACACCCTTCGAAAGAAGGATACTCCCCGGAAACCAAATATATATATATAAGGGAAAACGAGGGTAGCCGACGGCCGCGCACACTAGCCGGCCTCGAGCAATGAAAAAAATAAAATCCCCACAACTCAGGCCCAACTAGGCCAAGTACATATCAGTTGAACATAAGTGTGGTACCACTGACAGGTAACATGGACGACACGTCACGCACTACAAGGGAATGATCAAGGCCGAAACACACGCCTATAAAACCCTAACCGCATCGGTTGGGTGACACGCGAGAGGTGACCTTCATCGGCCATAGTCCTTTGAAGCACCAACGCGTGGTATGAAACAAAGAATCACAATCTTGAGGATGACCAGGACGAAGGGGGCACTTATCACACCCACGGAAGAATCAAGCAATCAAGAAACAACCTCTACTTGCCACAGCATCTCAGATGGCCGATGCAGGCACTGGAACCAAGGCTGTTGGTCAAGCGAAAGTTCTTTGGGAATCGGTTCAAGTGTTTACCAAACACTTAGAGAAAATTCTGAGGAAAAAGGAGGGTTCCTCAACAAGGAACCATGGTTAGCCGACGAAGGTAGAGCCATCTCCTTGGAAAAGCCCTTCCTTATCCGGCACCCTCATCGGCCACAAGCTAGACCTTGGCCGGCAGCGGTACCGCAAAGAAGTAAATCCCTTACATTCATACTTAGAAAATTCTCTTAAGTATTCAAATGGAGGAACTCTAGACGAAGCGGGTACCTGTATACTCCAAGGCCGTTAGCTACCCACGCCTTTGCATGTGTACTTAGAAAAATTCTAAGTTCAAAAGCCCAAGGTGAAGGTGCCCTTATCGGACACAACACAAGGATGCAGGACGATGAGAACACTCTCCCAAAGCATTTGTCAACAATGAGAAATCCAATGCCAGGACGATGAGAACACTCATCCACTTGAAGTTAGACACTTAGAAACATTCTAACAAAAAGAAGAATGGGACAACGCCAGGCCGGAAGGGAAGCAACTACAAGAATCCAAAACACTTAGGAAATTTTTGAAAAAATCCTAAGTGTTATGATACTACATCAACACCGGTCAGGCCGACAAGGCCACCAGGCCGGGAAGAAAGCACCCAAGTGGATTCAAAGCACTTAGGAAATTTTCAAAAAAAATCCTAAGTGTTATGATAGTACAGAAATGACGGTCAGGCCGACCAAGCCACCAGACCGGGAAGAAAGCAGCTTAGTGAGCCCAAAACACTTAGGAAATTTTTGAAAAAATTCCTAAGTGTTATGATAGTAAAGCAACGACGAACAAGCCGACCAGGCCACCGGACAGGGTGGACTACCCCATGGACGTAGCGGACAATCGCGGGTGATCCAAGTTGTGACCTTGACACTTAGACAAATTTTAGAATTGAAATGACAAATGGTAAACAAGCATACAAGGAATTCAAAGCCGAGCAGGACGGCAAAAATTTTTCATTCATAGTCAGTTCATTACAATTGGGGGCGCTTCGGCCATTACATCAGTTTGGCAAAAAAATGAAAAGCTAATTACAAAGGAGCAGGGAGTAGCCGATCAAGCCTCTCGGGCACCTCCATCCGCGGCTGGCTCTTCGACCTCGTCGGCTCCCTCCTCGGCCTCAGTCTCCTGGCCGGCGGCGGCTGCAGCACTGGTGGCATCGTCTAGGAAATCGAACTCTGTGTAATCCGGCTCGCCGAGGCCGGAGCTCTCAATGGGGGACTCCCGCTCCGACAGAGGAAGCTTGGCATGTTCTTCTGGATCCTTCATCAGCTTTGGCAGCTTCAAGTTCCGTCTGGCCCACCCGGACGTGTAATTCATGGCCTTCAAAGCACGTGACAGCCGCCGACACAGGAGCCTCTGCATCCGCTCCTGGCCCATGTTATAATAGACGGCCATCTCCCTACTGAAGTACTCCTGGCCGGCGGGGGAGTTCATCCCCCAATTTTCAAGCCTGGCGGCCACCACTTCATAGCACCAGGGGAGCCTCTCATCGGCCTTCCACCCTTCGGCCAGGAACTGCTCTACGGCCTTATCAGCAGCCTGCACAGCGGCAGCCTCGGCCTCAGCTCTCGCCTTTACGGCTTCTTCATTCTTGTGCCGCTCGGCCTCAAGCTCCCTTTTGCTCTCCTCGAGCTTGGCCAGGACATCATCCCTGGCTGCAGCGGCTTCATCGGCCCTTTGCTGCAAAGCCTTGGCATCCTCCCGGAGCCGATCCAGGCAAGCTACCGCCTCGTCGGCCGAGGCAGCCTTCTGCTCCAGCTCTTTCAAACGAGCTATCTCCCGGTACTGCCTCTTATGGCTCTCCATGAGCATAAAGGCACTCTGCAGAAAAAAGGAAAACAAAACTCAGGCAAACGACTCTACACGGACGACGAGAAAGACGGCACATAAGGAAAATAACTTACTTGGACGAGGAGGTCCATGTCGCCCTCGTACACCTTCACGTCCCCGAGCTTCTTCAGGTAAGCCCGATCTTTGGCCGGCATGGCCTGGGCCAGCACATCATGGCCGAGGACGGCATCGTCAAACACACCCCCGCTGACAGGGTATTCCACCACCTTCTGGTAGGTGGCAGCGGCGATATCCTTGCCAGCCCTCCTCGTCCGTGGCTCTTGGACGACAGGGAGCGATTGGGCGGCATCACTGGGAGCAGCAGTAAGGTCCAAGACGGGACCACTATCGTCCACGCTCGGGACAGTCAGAGTACCGGCCTCGGTAGCCGGGGAAGGAGACGGTGCCCTCTTCGTCTTCTTGGAGACGTTCAGGTCGGCTTCAGTCAATTTTTTCTGACCGTCAGTGGCCGGCCTCTTCTTCTTCGATTGGGCAGGCTTTGGGGCCGCACCAGCAGTAGCCCCGCTCCCCTCGGCCGCGGCACGTCTGGCCGTCTCGGCCGCCTTAGCAGCCAACTCCTCGGCCGCCTTAGCAGCCAACTCCTCGGCCGCTTTGGCCTTAGCAATAGCCATTATGGAACGACGATCCATGACGAAATCTACAAAGGAAAAACAACAGATTAGCAAGGCAAAAGAACAAATCATAAAGACAGAAAGCCGAAGAAATAATTACCATCGGCCTCAGCAGGAATGCCCAAGTCCGGGCCGTCGGCCTCCTCGAAGGTGGTGGTCATCCTCGGCCAGAGTTGGAGGTTATCCTCCTTATCGCCATACACATGGTATCTCAAGAAGCCGAGGGCGGTCATCTTGTATTCAGTGATGTAATCCTTCACGCTCCTCGGCCCCCCTTCCAAGAAAGCCTCCACCTGAGCGTCCAAAATAGAGCTCTTCGGCGGGTCATGCAGATTAAACCTCCCGGTATGGCCGAGGGAGGGAAACTCGGTGCCACTCTCATCAAGGGATACAAAAACGAACTTGCTCTTCCACCCATGAATGGACGAAGGCAAGTCCGTGAAGCTCCTCTTCTTCGGCAGCTGTTGAAGAGTAGCATAGGCCGCACAGTTCTTGTGGCTTCCTCGGCCGATTTGGTACAGATTCATGAACAGGGCCGTCGTCGGCCTGTAGCCCAGCTCCTCACAACGGAGCAAAAACCCCACCATCAAAGAATAGCTGTTCGGCGTCAGCAAGGCCGGAGGGAGCCCTACCATATCCAGGTATTCAGAGATGAAGGGGTGAAGGGGGAACCTCATCCCCTTGGCAAAACTCATCGGGTATACTCCAAAGTATCCCGGTGGCGGAAGAAGAACATGGTCCGTCGGCCTGGGTGCCCTAACCCGCCCGTACGGCCCCACGTACATCTGGGCAACAAGGTAGTCGGTCGCGCTGCTCTCCGGCTTGATCAGGAAGATGTTGGTGAGGTCCAAATAGGAGACGCCAGGCCCACTCTTCGGCCTCCTCACCCTCTTCGGCTTATCTGCTCCCTTCACGGCAGACACCGGCCTCGGGCAGGGAATGACAGCGGAAGTGGACGCCCCGTCCACCACTCGGGACGCACCTGCGTCCTCACCTTTTGAAGACGAGGCGGACTCCTCGTCCTCGACTTCGTCGTCCACCGGCTCTTCGGATTTGTAAGGACTCAAGTGTTGTATCTCCTCCTCGAACTCCTCGAGCACCTCATAGTCAAGTGACCTCGTGGAGGGCTGGTCGTCGTAGGGATAGTAGTCTTCGTTCAAGCTCTTCATCATAACTACTACTACGAGCCTAAGGAGATTAACTCAGGATCTAAGGGTGTTCAAACGCCTAACACTAGATCACTAGCCTAGGAAGCAAAGTATGAAAAGTGAGGAAGATTGCGATGAACACTAACCTTGAACACGAAGAACACGAAGAACAAGCTTGGGAGTTTATCTCTCTAGAAAATTGGCCAGCACTTCGACAATTCAGAATGCAAATACGTTTTCTCGTCGGAGGGGGAGGGGTATTTATAGAACCCCCACCCAACGGTCACTACACGTGGCACCCTTCCAATGGCCACATCAGC